AAATTCAGAAAAAAAAAAACAACAACAAAAAACAGAAACAAAAATCAAACATGTTCTTTATCATATGAAGATCCCAGCTTGTAGTATATATGCACATATATGTGAGCATATGTATATGAGATCAAGGAAAAGTGAAAGGTGGTGCTGAGGAAGCAGGGTAGGAAGAGGAAAGCAGACAAAAGGATACATGTAGCATGGGGTGGGAAAACGATACTACGGGTGGGAAGGGATATGGGCTAACCAAAGTAAATTTGTTTGAAAACGCCCCCCAAAAACCTTAACATTTAAATGCTAATTATGAAAACCAAATGAAAAAAAATCAATTAATGAAATAAAATTAAGAAACAAACAAAATCGAACCAAACAATAACGCAATGTCAAAAATATTCACATATTCACCATCCTTCCTTTCCCCCTACTTTAAAACAGTTTTTAGAGACAACGACTCTATTGACAAACGAATGCCAGACTGTAAAGGTTATCATCAGATTTGATCATGCCAGCAGTGGGGAAATGAATTGGGTATATGGGCTGGCCTCTCTCATTTGACCTCAGAGTGAACAGCTGTGCTCTGGGGTCATGGTAGGCAATTTTTCCTTCAGTAAAAACTTAAACTGAACAAAGAAATTCTACAATCGTCAGCAAAGCAGTTAAAATATCAATATTGGCCAAGAATTGGCCATTCAAAAGTAAACATGGCCTCTCAGAGTGTGACACACTGCTGAGGCTTTATTTTGACCATCTTCTCTAAGTTTTAGGGAGGATCCATTTTGAACTGCTCTCAAAAGGAATCAAGTCTATGACTGGGTATCATTCTGCCTTTCCTCAGCTCCCACCCCTCTATGAGTGGATACTTTTCTCACTGTCTATTTTATCTTATTGAAAATAGCAAAAGTTGAACTCAACTCACTGAAGTGGTGGTATTGTTGCTACATTGAGCTAAAGTAACCTATATATGACTTTTCACCCCATGGCAATTACAAATACTGAAGCTTAACTACTTCTAATCTTTGCTACACATCCAACCACAGGCTCGTTGTTAACTCTAGTACACAGCCCATGTTGGCGGATTCCCAAGGTCCCCTAGGTTGTTGAGGATGTACAGGTGAATTCCAGGTTGCTCACAATGTATTCCAAGCTGTTCTGTCCCAGCTTGCTTAATGGATTCTAGTTCTTATCACCATTATTAGAATTCTGGTGGCACCAGGCAACCCAAGGAGCCCCTTAGTGGGAGATGAAGATAAATCAGCACTTTACATTCACACAGCCTTGCTGGTGTTTTCAGTTATGCTGCACAGTACAATGCTAGACTGAGTCTGTTCCTCCAGTTACACATTTTACAAATAGAGCATCTTCTTGTCCTGTTATCTGAGTCTTAGTCTTTCTTCATAAAAGCACAGGCAATAGTGATTAAACTAACTAACTAACTAACTAACTAACTAACTAACTAACTAACTAACTAACTATCATAAGCATCTTCTGACAAATGACAACAGCGAAAAGGGTCGGAGACAGAGAAAACTTGAAATAGTTTCCTGGAACAAAACAAGGGTTCTCACTTTTGTCAGTCTTGTTCATGTAGTCTTGGATATCTTTGTCAGAGGCAAGAGAAAGAAACAAAGGAACTATATCAAGGAACAGAAAGTGAAATTATCCTTGTTTGAGGAAGACATGATTGTTTATGAAGAAAACATTACAAAACCCACCAAAACTAGTTGGAACTCATAAATGACTTCAGTAAAGGTATAGAACACAATAACAAAGGCATTTTTATATATCAGTAACAAATGGTTGGATTTTTTCGGAAAAGTCTTCTTTGAAGAGGAGCAGGCACTATACTTCTTTGAGGCTACAATGACAAATAGTTTGAATGTAGTTAACTATTATTCTATTTTAGTAAAGTGGTGGTTGGAGGTTCTTCTCCAAGAGTCATGACTTCATTAGCTTTGGGAAGTTGGCTAGGCTTCCAGCACCAGTCATACTTTTCCTCTTGTTGAGGGTGTCTTAAATCCAATTTTTTTATCTGTTACTACCAAGGTATGTGTGTCACTACAGCACTTAGGATCAGTATGTCATATGGCTTATAAGCATCATAGTTGGGTAAGATTTTTGGTGAAATTCTATTTAGAAAAACTATATCCACAGTCTCATAGAAATATGTTACTCAGAAATAAATTTTACTAAAGAAGTAAATTAGAGCCAATAAGATGGCTCATGGGGTAAAGGTATTTCCACCAAGGTGGAAGAAGTGAGTTCAATACCCAGAACATACTTGGTAGAAGGAGGTGACTGACTCTTGAAAGCTGTCTTTTGACCTCCACATGTACACATTCACGTACCCACAAAAAATAGACAAATAAATGTAATTAAAACATTTAATGAAAGAACTAAAAGATCTCCATCATAAAAATTCAAAACAATGAAAAAACTCTAGAGCTCACAAGAAGACAGCATCATCCCGTCTTCATCAACCTTGATGTTCAAGTCTTGACAAAATGTTCATTCAACTAACACAATCTATAGATATACTGTAATCATGCCCAAAATAAGCAGTTATCATAGATAAAAATGTAAATATAAGAAAAGACAAAATGTCATGTGGAAACTCCTAAGCAAGTGATAAAAAGCAAGGGCATTTTGATACTTGACTTCAAAATATACTGTAAAGCTGGAGTTATCAAAATACCATGAATCAGACACAAAGCAAACATAAACCAATGAAGCAAAATAAACTACCTCCCTACTAAAATAAACCCATAGTGACAGCTAACTTATTTTGACAAGAGACCAATTTGTAATCAGAGAAAGAATAGCCTCTTCAAGTGATGCTTCTACAAATACTGCACAGGGAGGTTAAACAATGCTACTCGATTTCAAGATGTACAAAAATTGACTCATATGACCAAAGAATTTAATAAAGAGTCTAAACTTACAAAATAATTGAAAACAAACAGAAAAATCACTTAACGACTTGTTGCAGATGAAACAAATGTCATATGGTGGTCTGAATGGAAATGATGCCCATAGGTTCATGTTTGGTCTCAGTTGGTGGAACTAATTGGGAAGATCAGGAGGCGTGGCCTTGTTGGAGGAGCTGTGCTACTAGAGGTGGTATTTGAAGTTTCAAAACCCCAAGCCATTCTCAGTTGCTCTTTCTGCCTTGTGTTTGTTGTCTCAATACGTTAGCTCTCAGACAAATGTCAATTATGCTCATTTTGTCATGACACACTACATACATGGGTCAAATTATAATAGTATACCTTACAAATAAGCACAAATGTCAAACAAAGCCTTTAGAAAAAATGTAAAATGAATTTTAAAATGGCTGTAAGCACGACCTGCTTTTAATCATGTAATTTTCAGACAAATGGAGAAACATGTGAGAGGAACCAGTGTCACCCAGTCCCTTAGAACTGGTCTTGTCCTGGGAGATAGCCCATTGGTCATAAAAATGGACAAGACTCTAGATTTCTACAGATGAGAAAAGCCGTGAAGTGGAGCACCCAATGTTTGTACATTTTATGCTATAAATACTGTATTTCAATAAAACATAAGAAGAATGAATCCTACCCAAACATCACAACCTTTAGTGCCCAGATTAAAAATTTTTTTATGTAGCATTAGATTAAGCCACCGAAGGCACCAAGACAGTGTGACATCACACAGGGCTCTAAAGGTTGTTAAATAACCTCCATAAAATGGTAGGCCAAGAATGTTTATCATTCATAAAAGAACAACATTCCATTAGAGTCTGCCCTTTAGCACGCGTTACTATTGACTATCGTTTTTACTGTATCCCAAACCAACATCATGTATGTCTTTTATTCCCTGCACACATCGCACTCTCACAATGTTATAGCTTTTCTTTTCATTTTACTGTTTAAATGCATACCCCCTTTGCTAAAATGGAAACCATTTAAAGAAGTGACATATTATTCCTCCGAGTAACATATTATTCCTCTGAATTTTTTTTTTTTTTTTGGCATAGTGCATGGTATAGTGGGCATTGAGTAGATGTTTAGCATCAACTCATTCAGATATAAATGATAATGGTAAATTTACTCCTACCTATGTACATACTTTAGCCAGGCACACGTGCCATTTCAACAATGTACTTTGACTCTTCTCAAATCACAGTGAAGCTACCATGACTGAAATTCAAAGTATTCTTTTAGTCCCATTTTAGAACTGCTTTTATTTTAAACACAGGAAAACAAACAGTACAAACTCAATTCTCTGTGTTAAGCTAAGATGGGAATTAAAAAAATAATATGGCTCTGTGGATTTCACAGAACTAGAAAAGGTTATTTTGGATCTGTGTGGAATTTAGATATCTGAAGCAGCAATTACTTTCCCATAAATGTTACCTTTTAGAGTCAAACACTATTTTGCTAGTGCAGTTCACATTTCACTTAAAGGAAAATGTCTTTTATTCAGAGTTTACTGTGCTATGTTATTCTATGTGAAAACTCTCCTTTTCATTTTTGTAGATGGCATTGTGAATTCATCAGGGGACAGCAAATCACACACCATTAAACATTAGGCTTTACGTGTTCTACATCATTGAATATCCACAAAATGTGATGGAGTGATTCTATACATCTGTAGTTCTGCATATCATCATATCATCTCAGACAACATCTTTTCAATCTATCCATCCACCTAGCATCAAAGCTTAGAGATATTCTCATGAGTATGTGGTGTGGTCAAGATAACAATACCAGAAATACATTTCCACACTTTACATTCTTGGCTCTTTAAAGTTCTGCAACAGAATTCATGGACCATGTTTTGCATAATTCTGGATTCATGTCCTGCTTTAGTAAACATTTGTGAAAATAAACAGCATACATTTTTAGGACGATGCTTCAGTAAATAGTATCAAGTTGATATAGCTAAGACTCCACTAGTCATCTTTCCACACTGAATAGATAAGCTATCAGTGCTTCCTTCATGTTTAGCAATATTGACCATTGAGTCTGGGAATTTATACAACTTACCATGGCTTTGGGCTTGGTTCCAGAATTGCTTGCTGGAGTGGATGAGAGCTCAGTGCACTCATTGTTAGAGCACAGATTCACCTGTGTGTGATTTACTGAGCTACTATCTGTCCCGCTTTCAGGTCCTGATTCCAGATCCTGTTAAAAAAACCAAAACAACAACAAATGCATGACCATAAAAGAAGGCACATGAGTGCCCCCTACATGTCTATTTCCTCCCATTAACAGCCTTCACTCCCATGTGACCTCCAGTAATTTACTTAGCATCACAAAGGTAACAAATAGGCTTCTAGACTTCCTCACAGGGCCTTGTGAACGGCAAAGGGGAAAAATAACCCCACTGTCATCTTAGCTCATGATGTAAGTAATGCTTTCCTCCTATATGATAAACCATCAATAGTGTTGGAACTCATTTCCACAGATGGAATGTTATAAGACATGTACAGCATATAAAGGAGTCTGACTAACACTGCTTTAAGAGTGTGTGCATGCACGCACGTGTGTGTGTGTCCACCCATGGATATGTGAAGTACATAATTGTAACCAAATTTCTTGTGCCTGGAATAACTTCAGATCAGACTATTTTTATGTCTTTTCATGGGAAACAATATATATATTATTCTAATAAAATATGGCTCACTTGAATTTCAAACGGAATTAATATGAAATGGATACCAGCAAAAACGAAAACAAAAACATGTAGTTTATAACATTAAATGTATAGCTATGAATAGTAGATAACTCATTTAATTTGCCTTTTTTTTTTTTGGTGTAACAGAGGCTCTTTGCATTGATTTTGCCTTACTATTCATGACTTAATGAAGTTGTTAACATGGTAATCTTTTATTTTTCTATCCATACAAAAATAAGTATGAAGTGAAATAATTCTTTTTTCAATTTATCAGTCTTGTGTTGTTGCTTTGCACAAACCACACTTTATATCCATATGTGTTTCAGTTTGCTGCTCCTGTGTGGAAGCTATTATTATCATCATGGAAGAGACAGTGACACTCAGACTCAAGGTAGAGTCTTGAGAGTCTTAAATTCACGTTCCATGGCAGAGCTGGTATTAAATCTTTGGTCTTGACCTCAAAGTTCAACCTCATAACATAACTACTCTGCTGTTTTGCTGAGGGCCTGAAACACAGCTATAGAAGCAATTTCATAAGGCTGTGCATATGAGGCTTAGTAGAAATCTCTCTTTCTACTCACTGTGAGAAATGTGTAACATGGGTCAGCTTTTCCAAGGTCTCTCACTCATTCCCTCTCTAATTAACCATCTTAAGCAAACTAAATGCTGAACAAGACCCTCACTACACCGCCTGCTTTTGCTCTGGTGATATATCTAATGAGCTACAGTTCTATCAGGCTCTCCAGCATCACTGCAACCCCATGTTTTCACCTGTCAGGTAGATGGAATACACACAGCTCAGATGAATTCTTATAGTGGTGGGCTATCTGGAGTGTTATGTGCCATAGAAGAAATCTGTATATGATTTAACTCTGGCACAAAACAGTGGGAATCCTGTGATTCATCCTTTACACAGAAGGTCATAGCACAAAAATAAGGCTTCACAGGTGATATTCACTACAGAGAAGGTAATGGAAGCCAGGTGATACCTAGGGGGATTATTCAAAGTGATTCGATAAGAAAAATTAAATCAAGAATCTGGATAGAAGATGTAAAGGGCAAAATTAGGGATGGGGGTATTGAGTTCCCCAAAATGTGACTGAGGAGGAGGGAGTGGGAGACCAAGCAGATCAAAGGGGTAGTGAAAGTCAATGTGGAAGGCAAGCTCGCATGCTAAGGATAGTGCAATTACTCCCGGTATGTCACATCAGGGGCCGGTAGTGCTGGGTCGTTGGAAAAGTGGCCAAGAACAAATTCAAGAAATAAAGACTAGGTGGAAAGAATATGAAACTCTGGGTCACAAAAGGGTTGAAATAGGGTAATGTTTGACAAAGATAAATAACAAACAAAAAAGTTTTTATGTCTGAAATGAAAAAGGAGCAATGCCCTCTGTTCCTCTCCTCCTTGTATACAGTGTACCATGTACAGTCTTAAGCTAAGGAAGGACTTAGAAAATTAGGAAAGCCAAAACCCACTTCACAACAGTGCCCAGACTCTATCAAAGGAATGGATAGGTTCTAGCTTACATATTTCCTAAGCTTCTCTATGGTGTGGCTGAAGTGTCCCAAAGGATTATTAATATCTGCTTGGTCACACATTCACATGACAGTTAATGGCTCCATCTCAGAACACATTGCTATTGAGAAGAAAAGGCCTTGGGAAGGTTTACAATGCGGCGGAATGAGAGTTGGCTTTTCTCAAAGATATGAAGTGACTCTGACAAGCTGTGACTCTTGGCAAACTTCTCACTCCGCACCTGTATGACCCTAGTAAATCCCTCATCCTTCCTGAGGCTCAAGACACTCATCATCAGACCAAGAGAACAAATGGAGCAACATATGTACTGACTAGTACTGCTTTCTTCTCTAGCCCCACCCCCATCTCCCAGCTGCCACCCATTCTAAGCGATTGCTATCATTAGTTGCACCCACACAACAGATGCTCAGACCAGGTCAAGATTTTGGGTGACAAAATAACAACACAACACAACAAAACAAAACATAACAAAATCAGATCATGGAGTCTGGAGAATCTACCAAGGCATAGCTAGTTTGTTAGAGTTTCTCTAAGCAGCTTCATCCAAATCATTACTTCTTCCTTTAAGATTTACTTCACAAACACTGTTCTCCATCATCCCAGTCTCTGGATCTAATCGTACTCTTTATTATATAAAGAATTCATTCTGGGAATTTTATAAGTATTCTTACACAGGGTGGGTGGGTTAGGGGAGGAGTCATTGCTTCATTGTGAGCCATGTTCTTCTTGCTAAAATTAAATGCATGGAGCAGCAGAGTCAGATGGAAGAAGTTTCTCTTTTGTCTCTCTCTCTCTCTCTGCATTACTGCTCCTTAGTGGATGATCAACGTCATAATCATGACACCAGAGTCCTTTCATTCCATGGCACAATTATCAAAAGGAATGAAAAATGCAGATGAAAGCTAATGTTATCATTAGCTTTTAATTCCCCCCCGCAAAGGAAAAAAAAAAGCAGAGACAAGGATCAAGGGTTACTCAGGAAACTGTAAAGATCAAAAAGTACTTTTGAGGCTCAGGGACATGTATTGTTCATGTTTTTGCTTGGAGTCTGGTATGAGCATAGAGGGGAACAGAAGAGAATCAACAATGGCCGCACATTCTCTGGGGTAGATCCATGCAAGTCTGCTTATGTATGCATGTTAGTTCATTCATCACTCAAATAAGTCATTCATTAAAAAGTTAATCTTTGTGCATATCTATCTCTGACATAAACCTGCAGCTGAGAAATTAGACAGTTTTCATGTGGTTTCAGATAGTCAGTTATAAAGCTTGGATTCAAAACAGTCACTAACTTCAGCCACCTTCAGTCACTAACATTCCTAATGTTTCTGCTGACCTACTTTGCTTTATTCTAACAAGACTGATAAACTGAAAGCTCAGAAACAGATGTTATGTTTACAGTGGTAACAATTATGGTAATAATCATGGTAATATTTCATTAGATAGTGTATGAAATGTCAAATTCCAATTTACAATTTATATAGCAGTATAAACCATAGATGCAGATAAATGATCCAATCATCATGCTTTTTGGTTTAAGAAAGGACCTAGTCTAGCAGACAGGGAGTAAGCTTACTTTTTTTAGTTGAGTTAAAAGCATGGTGTGTGATAGAATTCTCATCTGTGCTTTTCTATTTAGCACATGGGTAGTGAGAAAAATTGAATGGAGAGAAAAGAGAGAGATTAAAAGGCAGGAGAGAGTAACAACTCACTGCAGAAAACTTTTAAAAATAAAAATCCATATGCAAAGTCCTAGGCCCTCCTGAAAAATAAGACATCTCTGTTGATAAAGGTGATAGAGAAAATGAGTGTGAAATTTTAATGTGTTTGTTTTTAAATTTTCAATATGCCAATCAAATTAAAGCATCCCTTTCTCCGGGCTGTTAGGACATTGCTTTGGTTATGTTTTTTTTTCCCATTTAGATCCCTTTTCTATTTGCTAAAATGAAACTACATGCAAGTAACTAAGGTATCACTAGAGAGTGAGGGACTAGGAATTTTCTAGGACATTATTTAGGTACAATTCACTGTAAAAAAGATATTTGCAATGAATCTTGAAGAATAAGAAAAGTTATTAAAGTTAGCAAAAATGATAATTTCATTTTTATAACCTTTCAAAACTGAAATCTAGTTTTATATCAATTAGACGACTATTATGACTGTCACATTATATTAGCCAGGTGACTATTATGGTTATTGTTGTTCTAAATATACCAGCTTCTAATTTTAGCCTGGTTGAATGATATAGCATTGGATTAACAACTGGCTTGGTTTATTTGTTTGCCAGCTCTGGCCCATGCATGCCTCAGCTTCTGTATACGTTTTGCTCATCTTATAATGTTACAAGTATAGTAATATAGGTAGACATTGAGTACTATTCACACTGGGTTAAACCCTAGCTCCTTTACCTCAGAATCAATGGGACACTATATTAAGTAAGGTAGACACAGATTAATCCTGTTTCAGTAGGTACCTAAACTTGCTTATGTGATTTTTTTACATTTTGGATCTCACTTAAATATAAATTTTTAATGTGGTTTATTTATTATTTTGTAATGCAAACCCTTGCTTAATAGATAAGGGTTGTACAGAGACTCTTATGAAAGAAGGGGGAGATAGAAAGACCTGGAGGGGTCAGGAGCTCCACAAGGAGAGCAATAGAAACAAAAAATCTGGACACAGGCATCTTTTCTGAGACTGATACTCCAACCAAGGACCATGCATGGAGATAACCTAGAACCCCTGCACAGATGTAGCCCCTGGCAGCTTAGTCTCCAAGTGGGTTACTTAATAAAGGCAACAGGGACTATCTTTGGCATGAAATCAGTGACTGGCTCTTTGATCACCTCTCCTGAGCGGGGAGCAGCCCTACCAGGTCACAAAGGAAGACAGTGCAGACAGTCCTGATGAGACCTGATAGGCTAGGGTCAGATGGAAGGTGAGGAGAACCTCGCCTATAAGTAGACTTGGGGAGGGCCATAGGAGGTGATGAGGGAGGGAGGGTGAGACTGGGAGGGGATGAGGGACAGGGCTACAGCTGGGATACTGTAATTAATAAACTGTAATTAATAAAAATAAATTAATAAAAAGTAGAAAAGGGTTGGCTTACTTACAGTAAAACTGTATGCTATATATACTAGATCTACATAAACTAAGCCACTGAACATGAAGCTATTAATACATATGTAAAAGGCAGAACCAATCTTAGTATTCCTTCTAAATTTTATTTTTACTTTTGGAATATTATCAGAGACTCTATCATATAAACTTAATGGGATAATATCCTTAGATTTATGGCTGTGAGCCTAGCCTTTAATGTCTGAGCCATCTCTCCAGCCTAGGAAAAATTCTTACTTCTGTCCTGTTTGTTATTTTCAGAGTATATGTTAGAGCACTAACAAATCACTATCATGTAACATTTTTTTTGCAGTAAGCAAGATTAGTTCACCTGCATCTACACATCCATCCACTCATCTATCCACCCATCCTTTCAATCATCTATTCATTTATCCATGTAGAAAATACGTAGTAAACATGTTTTTTTCGTGCAATGTATGTTTATAGAATAAGAATATATGTCTTGAAAATAACTGGTTATAATGTGAAAACCCGAAAATAATGTAGTTATCAAGACAGATATAGCATTTCATGCCTCTGAAGAGTAGGAAATACAGTAGTGCTAGCAAACAACTATAACAAAGAGGGTTTAATCCCCAAGAAGCACAGTTTCCTAAGCTCGCTCCATTTCTTTTTTAATATAAAGTATTTTGTTGTCACCCATGTGTCTATAGACTTTGTATGACATATGAAAATGACTGAATGATCTCAATGGAGTTCTGTTTCATTTATTAATAGATGCCATCACCAAAGATGTTTCACTTATAAGAGAGACCATATGTAATAAAGAGGTCCTATTCTTACTGGGCTTAGTGGGCACAGATATGTAATCCAAGCTTCTTGAGTAGCTAAGGCAGGAGGATAGTAAGTTCAAAGCCAGTCTGGGCTACATGCTGAGTTTAAGGGCAGCCTAGCCAACTTATTTAGTCTGTGTTTCAAACTGAAAACAGGGCTGGTGATAGAGCAAAGTGGAAGATTGCTTGTCTAGTGTGGGCCTGGCCTGAAGGTTATCCCAATTTTTTTGAAAAATAAAATAAAACTAAAAACTAAACTATTTCTAATAACTACAGAAAAACAGACCCTGAGGGATGCTGATCCACTGGGAGAAAGAGGAGGGAGAAGGTAGCTTACAGGGACATGCCGCCGCAGGTTTGTTGGGGTGCTGGATGGAGAGGAGACAGTGCTGAGAGCATTCTCTATGTCTTGGTCTAGTTGGTCCAGTTTCATAATTAGTAGCACCATGGAGTCCAGCCGTGTCCTGTCTCGATCTTCCCGTGTTTCCTGAGGAACAGAACATGCTGTCACTAAATCTGAAAGGCCATTACTTGGAAAGAATAAGAAGTTCCCTGTTCTTCATGTGACAAAAAGGACACTGGATAATGGGTAGTCTTCTATTTGACAGGCAAGGGAAGGTCTGGTCTGGGTCATCAATGGTCCCTTCATGGAGTAGATGTCAAGAGTGCATTTTATATGAATATTCAATGCATGAAAGAGAAGCTGAATGACTCTGAGTACTTACACACATTTCCAACACATTTCTAACTTCCTAATTATTATTGAATTTGTTTATAAGAGTTTTAATTTTTAGAGTATAAATTTATCATTTGTATGATTCTAACAATTGTGACATTGTACTTAAGAATGAATGTGAGAGACTATTTGTACCAGAATATTTTTAATTTAGTGAAATTCTGTGGAAAAAAAATGAAGTTAGGCAAGGCTCTCAATGATATGGTGGGTAATTCTATGCACGCAACATTTACCTATTGCTGTTTCTAGCTATGGCTCTACAATTCCATTTAAAATCTATTGTTATTTTCCCACATACTTAAAAACAGTCCCCCATAACATATATGTGTTATATATGTGTAACCAGGGCTTTTTTATCTTGGCTGTTCTGGGATTTGGAAACACGGACTTAAAGCAGTAGCTGAAGCTTCTATTGTCCTTGTAAAATCACTTGGACACAACTCTATAGTTCCTGGATAGTCAAATCAAGTCAGTTAATATCAGAAATCTCAACCCCTCATGCTATGCATAGGGTCAGGGCCGAGTAGGCTACAAGTAAAGACAAATAAAAGGATCATGTAAATCAGACAACGTCTTTAAGAAAGACACTTTATTGAGAGGTGCAATGGAATGAGGTCCAGTTCTCTCAGTGTAAAGTATCACTTGTGATGCAGGTTGCCAACTTCCCAGGACTCTAAGATACTTGCTTGATGAGAACCAACTTTAAAAGGATTGCTTATGGCCAAACTCAAGGAAGGCAAACAAGGTCATGATGGGAGCTAGATGTATCCACAGAGGATCCCAGGTTGGGACTTTGCTTCAACAACAATTATTACTAAATGAAGAAAGTAATGAACATGACTCTGTCTTTTTGTCTTCTTTGGGGTCCTTATCCTCTCCCCTCTCCTCTCCTCCTCTCTCCTCTCCTCTCTTCTCCTCTCCTCTCCTCTCCTCCTCTCTCTTCTTCTCTTCTCCCCTCCCCCTTTCTCCCCTTCCCCTCTCTCTTTTTGTATGTATGTGATGGGTGTGCTTGTTAATGTGGATGTATACATACGTGTGAGTATATGTGCGCATGGGTGTAGGTGAGTATGGAGGCCTAAGATGGACATTAGATATCTTCCTCGGTGACCCTTCACCTTTAGTTTTTCAAGATATGGTCTTTCACTGAACCTGAAGCAGATGAATTTTTGTAGACAAACTGGCCAATGAACAGGTCCACTTGTCTCTGTATTCCAGACCTGGGGTTAGAGAAGCTTGCTACCAACCCTGGCTTTTACATGGTCTGGGGATCATGTTTGTGCAGCTGACATTTTACCAACTGAGCTATCTTTCAAGCCCTGGGCATTTCATTGGTCTTTAAATTCCCCAGCTACTCTCAAGAACAGGATGCTGTGGGTTAATCTAATTTTATAAGTATATTCCTTAAATAGGAATCGAATTCTACATGTATACACCTTTAAAAGCTAAAAAATGTTTTTGATACAGAAAACAACCTTCCAGAGGTTAAATGATTGACTTATTATATGGTCTTAGAAGCAACTATTTAGGTTGTCTTACTTTCTTTTCCAGTTACAGTGATATGTAGACAAGAACAATTTAGGAGAGAAAGAGTTCATTTTAGTTTTATAAACCGTCATTGCAGGAATTCAAGGCAGCAGGAATCTGAAGCAGACAGTCACATGTATCTATAGTCAAGAGCAGATGGCAGTGAGTGAGTGCATACATGCCAGTGCTCAGATTGCTGTCTTTACTATTACACAGTCTGTAATCTTCTGCCTAAGGAATAGTGCTACCCAGGGTGGGCATAGATTCACCCTTTAATTAACTTAATTAAAATAGTCTCTCTCAGATATGCCTACAGTCTCTTCTCCCAGGTGATTCTGAATTTTGTCAAATTGTTGGAAAGTAGTAACCATCACTTGAGCTAATATTTGTTGGTATAATGTTCTTTTAAAATGTATATGCCTCACCCTTGTTAATTCAAATGCTGATTTCCCCACCCCCAGCTCTCTGGTTTCAATCTGGATATTGCATTGTGATACTCACTATAAGCATCCTGTCTCAACTCTTGTGTAAACAGGACACAAATAAAGCAACTAGATACAATGTTGTGCAATGGGAGGAACCAGAGGACAGGAAAGAGGGAAGGAGCTAGAGAACAGGAAGGGGCAAGAAGGAGGAGGAGCTCTAGGAGAGGAGAGCAAGAGGAGAGCAGAGCGGGAGGAGAGAGCTTGGAGGACTTAAAGCATGAACCAGACCTAAGATTTCACAAAAGGCAAGTAAAATGTGGGAAATCTAAATGTTAGGAAACTGAGGGCTTGGAGGTTTAGGAGGGAGTAAATATTGCCCAGCATTGTGTTCTAGGTTAACTAAAAACTCAGTCTCTGTGTGGTGATTTGGTTATACAGCCGCTGAGGATTAACAGCAGCATTACTGTTAATGCTAATGATAAACCCATAGTAAATATTAATAACTAAATACAACAAATATTAGATAATTTATTTGAACACTTTTCTTAAGAATTTTATATACAATGAAATATGATACTACCCCATTCCTCCTCCCAATCCCTTCATATTATCTGCAGCACTTTTCATAACCAATTTCATATCTGTCTGTTTTTTTGTTCTGTATTTTTGTTGTTGTTGTTTGTTTTGAGACAAGTTTTTATTACGTAGTCCTGGCTGGTCTGGAACTCGAAAACCTCCCTGCCTTCCTAGGAAGTGCTAACATTAATCACATGTGCCCACTTGGAGACTGAGCTGCCTACAGGCTACACCTGAAGAGGGGGTCTAGGTCCTCTCCATGAATAGTCCTTGGTTGGAGTATTGGTGTCTGCAGGGCCCCTGGACCCGGGTTTTTGGCTCTGTTAGTCCTTGTGGAGCTCCTTACCCTTCAGGTCTTTCTATCTCCCCCTTCTTTCATAGGATTTCCTATATTCTGCCAAGAGTTTGGCAATGAGTCTCAGCATCAGATTTGATACTCTTGTGGGTAGAGTTTTTCAGAGGCCCTCTGTGGTAGGCTCCTGTCCTCTTCCCTGTCTTCTCCAGCTTTGGATGTCTATTTTTTTGCCCTTGTGAATGAGGATTAAACATCTTCCTTGGGGTCCTCCTTGTTGTTTAACTTCTTTGGGGCCATAGATTTTAGTATGTTTCTCCTATTTTATATGTCTAATATACACTCCCAAGTTGGTTCCCTAGTAAGGGGAACAGGGGCTATCTCTGACATGAACTCAGTGTCTGGCTCTTTGATCATCTCCTCCTGGTGGGTTGGCAGGATGCAGCCTTGCAGGCCATAGAGGAAGGTGATGCAGCCAGCCTTGATGAGAACTGAAAGGCTAGAGTCAGACAGAAGGGGAGGAGGTCCTCTCCTATCAGGGGACTAGGGAGAAGCAGCAGACAGTGGGTGGTACTGGGAGGAGACAAGGGAGGGGGCTGCAGCAGGGATACAAAGTGAATAAATTGTAATCAATAATAAAAAAATCACATGTGCCACCATGTCTAGCCCATTTTATTATTTTATTATTATGTTTTTATAACCCAGTCAGTCAATTTAGTGCTACTCAAACATATATAAATGTGGGACAACCAAAACTAGATAATCTCTTTTTAAAAACAGAAAATTTCCTTTGTTTAAAAGATTAATACAAAGAGGAGAGGGTACATCTTTTTCCATAAAAGCAAACGGACTTTAAAAATTAAATTGAGATCTTTGGCCATCTGCTAATTTCTTCAGAAAGCTATGCAACTCTTATGATTTGATTCATTTTCACTGTCCCTTTCTTGAGGGACCTTTAACAACTGACAGAAAAACCATAAACCGTTAGGCTTAAAAGTATTTGCATTTGCAAAAAGAAATCTTAAACATTTTATCCAATATTTATCCAATAATTAAGTATTAAATAATATTAAATATTTAATATTAATACCAGATATTAACATTAAATATTAAATAAAATGTTAAATATTTTATCCATTAATGAAGCAGAACTTGTATACAAAGCAGTTATTTTTACAGCAAAATCCTGCTTATAACTTGAAATAAAGTTCAGGAAGTATTACAGATCATTGCATCAAATTTGCTTACAAGTACTCCCCAAAATGGGGGAAAAACTTGCTATAGAGTCATGGAGTCCCTTAATTACTGTTCCAGCCTATTCCTTATATAATCTCCTTCAATTTGAACCAAAGGTACAAGGGTTGAATATTTGTTCATCTTTGTGTGCTTTCTTTGGCTGTCATTCATACCTCAGTTATAATAGCAGTAAGGACAAAGATTCAAGCTTTCTACCTATCAGAAGTGGCACCAAGCTCTACACCACAGAAACAACACATTTTTAGGAAAAGTAGTGAGATCAATAACGCCAAGGAATGACAACACACAGAAAGCAGAGCCTGATAGTTTCCCATCTACTAAGTTAAAGTTGGAGGCAGCGGCACATCTGTCACAGACATGGTCTCAGAAACAATTTGTCTTTGAATTAACTGGACATTAAGATTTTACTCTAAAAATATTTTATAGCCATTAGCTGAGCATAAAATTATTGTAGAAATCTGCCACAAGGGTAAAACAAAATAATCTTGCCCCATGATATTCTTGTAGACAATTAAGCCTATTTCTTTTCTCTGTCCTTCAAATGTACCTTCTTTCTCACCAACTGTTACAGTCACTCTAAAATGTCAAGAGTTTTATGCCGTACATTCATAACCCCCCCCATAGAGTGACTAAAGATCTGATGCTTTGTATAACCATTCTTGTCCTTATTTTTAAAG